GACAAATCATCCATATGATACAACAGCAATGACAAAAACCAAAATGAAATCGAATAACATCTTCCAAGTGTCCATTTTGCATTGTAGATCAAACCCATTGTTAGAGGATGAAAGTGATATAAATACATTTTCAGATAAAGTTTCTCACCAAGGACCTCTATTAAAGGAACTTCTAAAAGATGTACTTTAGAAATAAAGAAAAATGATCATAGAATGATCTGAGATATGAAAAGGAATAGTAAGTAAAATACAAACATGTAAGTACATATATATACACACATACATAAACAAACATCTGTGTAAGATAGTCTGGAGAGAGGTGCCCAGATTTAAAACATTCTAAGGTTTTTGGATTGTCTAGGGGTAGTGTTTAAGATATTTAACTTAAAACTTTATTGTATTAAATACGCAAGGCAAAAATTTAAGGGTAACACTAAGAGAATAGAAATTGTTAGCATAAATTTGAAAAAAATATGGAAGAATAAGACACACATGCCCCAACTATTTTTCAAAAGCAAGGAAGAAAAAAGCATAGAAAAAAAATGAGACTAATAAAATTAGTTCAAACAAGTCCACATATATGTCAATAATTACAACGAATGTAAATGGAATAAACTTGCCAATTAAAGGTTATACTGCCATATTGGATTAAAAAACAAAATCCAGCTGTGTGAAGTTTATGAGACACAAAAAGGACAGAGAACAGTTGAAAGAGAGGTGGTGGAGAGAAAAGTTATATAAGGTAAACACCAATAAAAAGAGAGCTGGGATGTTTAATATTTGACAAAAATTTTAAGACAAAAAGCAGTACTGGTGATAAAGAGGGTAACTACTAAATAACAAAGAATAAATCCATCAGAAAGGAAAAATATAACAATTTAAATGTCCATTTTCCTAATAGCCTCAAAACATAAAAAGCAAAAATTCACAGAATTTCAGGGTAAAATGGCCAAATGCAGAATTATAAGTCCTCCTTGTTCTTTACTGTAAAACTCATAAATAAAAGAGTGAATACATTCAAAAGATATTTGTATTAGCTTGTGGGATTAAGGATTTTTCTCCATTTTCTAAACTTTATTGCTGTCATATTGCTTTTATAATTAATATACTTTTTTTCAGAAATGAAGTATACAGGTGAAATCTTTAGATAACAGAGGGTTAATTATGGTTTTACTAAATTTGGGGGTAATTACAGTCTGTAGTTTTAGATCCTGTCCCCAGTGATTATCAGGTTGTGTACATTTTAAAGATAATTTCTTGTTTGAGTTTTGCTAAAATTTCAAATGACTTTTACATGGACTCAAGTGGTTCAGACACCACTGGACTCACACATTAAAGAATGTGGTTTACCACACAGTTTCTGCTTTACTCAATAAGAATAAAATACTTCTAGAAAGAATGCATAATAATGCACTCCAAACTTGAATATGCTACTGATTGTTAATGGCTACATTATTCTGGATATTTGTATCAACAACATAGCGACAACTTTTCGAGACTTCTGCCCAGATATTACAATTATTATCCTAGCCATTAGTTACTCTCAGAAAAGTAGAGAAAGATGCAAATGGAAAATAAAGCAGCATTCAAGGAAGCTGGCTCTAAAGAAAACAAGCACAGGTGGCAGGGCATGGTGGCTCATGCCTGTAATACCAGCACTTTGGGAGGCTGAGGCAGGCGAATCACGAGGTCAGGAGTTCGAGACCAGCTTGGCCAACATGGTGAAACCCCATCTCTACCAAAAATGCAAAAAATTAGCTGGGTGTAGTGGCAAGCGTCTGTAATCCCAGCTACTTGGAGGCTGAGGCAGGAGAATCGCTTACACCCAGGAGGCGGAGGTTGCAGTCACGCCACTGCACTCCAGCCCTGGCAACGGAGTCTCATATCAGAAAACCAACCAACCAACCAACAAAAAGGTTACTTTATCACAGTATTGAAAACGGAGACAGCAAATGGAGTCTCTTTGAATATATAACCTAAAAACTGAAACTGTAAAATTTAATCTATTATACAGAATTTTCACAGTTGTTTAAATTTTACTGTTTGCAATTCTAGAAAAATAACATCATGTTGGAAAAGCAGTAATTTAAAATGAATTATATTTTGAAAAATATAGAAAAATGACAGGAATTCTAAATTTTGTGAATATTTTACCCAAGAAATGTGTTTTAGAATCTTTTGAGATTTGCATTCGAAAATATTGTTGGTCCAATTCTTTCACTGTTTAAAGCCAACAATAAAAGAATAGGAAAAGAATGTAGTTACTTCCAACTCTGGGCTATAACAATAAGATAATAACGTCTAGAAATTACACTTTAAAACCTTCAGAGTAAATTAATAAAAATTCAACATACTTCAAGTTATCATCACTTTATTTTTTCTATCATTACCTTTTTGTTTACTGTTTCAATTTATTGAATTATAAATACAATGAAGAGTACAATAATAAATGTACATACAACTTTATGAATTCTCACATAGTGAGCCTGTGTTACAAGTAATCTATTATTAACTTTTAAGATGATACAGTGCTATGATCGAAGGACTAAAATGATCAACATCACCATAAAAGGCAGTTATAAACAAGAACAATTAAGTGTAATTAAATCAGGTGGGAGGCACACTTAGAGAAATGAAACAATTTTTGGCTCACATTTTACACCACACAGGTATTCTGTATCTTTAGAACATGAGAAAATACATATTCTCAGTCTGATAGGTCTCCGACTTGGGGGTTCTTTTACTGTACTTTTTTCTCTCTAGTAGCCGAACATTTTAAAGGAATCAGCAGAAAAAACATCAAACTTCAGAACCAATTAGACTTTTAAAAGCAACGTTCTTGCCCTTTCCAGAGATACATGCCTTAATCCTCCTACAAATCATGACCTTACACGATAACTTTAAGGGTGAACATCAACTTATCTACATTTTGGCGCTTGCTTTCCCTAAGTGGCAGATGGTTTCTATTAACCTAAAATTGAAGTCCTTGTTGGGGGACCCGTAATTTCATGTCTAGTCCTAGTGCCCAGAGGCTACCAAAGACGATACGAATAGCTTCTCAGGCACTCCACCCACCATTTACCTTGTTAATGCAAATCTCGCCCAGACCTGGGTCCCGAAATTATTTTACCCTGCAGAACAGAAATGTTATGGTGTTCATTCAGTGAACTCGTCCCTAGTTTTTAATCTTTGTATTTTCTGCGTATACTTCGAGCCACCAGTAACTTTTCCCAGTTACCAAGAAACAGTGTAACACAGGTCGCTATTTGTTTTGTTCGGAATTTACGAGCCATTTAAGCACACACGTGATTAGCAACACTAAGGGGGCTCTTCCAGGCAAAGAATCCACAGAATGAGAGGCCCTTGGTACCCAAATGAAGCAACAATGAAAGATCGGCGAAGCTCAGCAAGGTGCCTGAGCGCCACGGACGCCTGCTCTGATTTCAGGTTGCCGGCGCGCGCCCGCGGGTCTGCCTTTATGGGCGAGGCGCAAAAGGGCTCCAGGAAAGAGGGTGCCCTTAGGGGCTCGGAGATTAGCGTGGGCGACCCTGCCACCAGCCGCCCCCACCACAAAGAAGAGGAAACGCTCCGCATCCCGTCACCAGGGCAACTCTGCAACCCGACACCAAGGCTCAAGATTCCGCATCCCGGGCAGCGGACACAGAAGAAAAGCACCTCGCGGCCCGGCCGCGGGGCTCCAAGGCGTCCCTGCGGCTGCTGTTCCTAGGGTGCCGAGAGCGACGCGGG